TTTACGTATGCATGGTCACTCTTCGCTAACCTAATTCGGAAGGGCCACGGGGCGCTACATCTATGTGCGCTCTCCTAAGACGGCGTTCATACTGCGATAATCCGCCGACTTCAAAACAGCAGTGGAGCGCTCAAATTGATAGGTGATGTAGGAGGTCGGGCAGGAACACTATTGGTAGGTGGCAGGACGTGATAACAGCTGATAACATGAGGAGCCTTAGAAGGGAAGGATCACCATCTCCATAACGCGCGTCACAGCGACGCTAGGACTTTGGTTCCAAGAAGTAGGATTATGGGCAAGATGGGAACATCATTGGTGGGTGGCAGGAAGTGATAACGGCTGATAAGATACCATGAGGAGCCTTACAAGGGGAGAGTCACCAAAGTCATAGCGCCGGCCACGGCGACGACTCAGGATGGGAACAATATTCATGGCTGGCAGGAAGTGATAACAGCTGATAAGATAATATAATGGGCCTCAGAAAGGAAGGGTCACCAACCTGATAACATGCTTCACAGCGACGCTAGGACGTTGGTTCCAAGAAGCAAGATAGTGGGCAAGATGGGAACATTATTGGGGGGTGGCAGGACGAGATAACGGCTGATAAGATAGCCCCAAAAATTCACAGCATAGTTGTGGATTACTGGACTATTGCTTCCAGCAAGTAATTTAGAGGTGCTTAGGTAAAATTAGTAGTGGGAGATAAGTTCTGATAGTGTCTGACAAGGGCTTTTAGGAGTCGTATATTCTCAAATCACCGTGGCCAACGTGGGCAAAGGTTCAGTGAGCCAACATGTTCCTATGTTTCTATCCCTTGGCGATATAGTCGGATTTGATTCGACCGCTAAACTGTAGTGTCAACAAAAAGTAAAAGCCCCGAAAGCTGCTCAAATGATGTACTAGGATGTGAGGACATTTCACCATGATATCGATGTTATTACCCTCGAGACTCTTCCAACCGCTAGGCTGTCCTATTTCCAACGAATGGCGAGTGTTGTCAAAAATGTGATAAGCGCCAGTCATTGGTAAATGTTCATTGAAAGGGAAAAATACGATGAAATGGGCCGTATTTCGAAAAATGGGAATTAGGACAAGTGTTGTGCTCCGCAGAAAAACCCCCGATCAGTACCATAGGTTCAACCATGCGCGCAGTACTGCGCGTTAGCCAAACTGGTTACATTTATAAAGCAGGGATATCAATAGAAACATTTCTTTTTGCACTTTGCCTGCTCAATTAAGAGCATTTACAAAAGCTCACGCCATACCCTACATAAATGACTGAGCTTGTGTTACCAGTATGAAGGGTCAGGGTAATAAACGCGTGGATCTTGAATGAATTCAAAAATAATCATCAGTTAGCCTTGTAAACTCTGCTGTAAAAGTAAGGAACCATATATTGACCATTCGTACCTTCACGCACTCCATGACAGCTTGGTGAGGACCGTCAGCAGGTCGTTGGAAATACACCAACGTGCTCCCATCCAGAGAAAACGTTGGATTTTCTGCGGCAACATTTTCGTTTCCTATGACATGTATCTTCGCCGAGCTCAGCTCGAAGTAGTACATCGCACCTCTGGATATAATATATTCGACAAATGTATTATATGAAATTAGCATAAAAACAGGTTGGAAAGAAAGTCCTGCGACACACTGAGCATAATTTCTGACAAAATTTTCTTTCAATAAGCAACTCCTCCAGTCTACAGGGTGCCTTTCGCACAGCTGAATTCCACGATGAAGGGAAAAGACGGACCTCATTTTTGAGTAGACGCCATTTTCAGATTTTCTTTCTAAGGGATCAAAGTAGGTGGCAGTAGGGCTGCTAAGCTCGGTGAATGAACTCGGTACGGTTGCACCTCCTGATCGACATCCATAAAATTTTGATAGCCTCATCGCCTGATGCGAACTTTGCACTGCCGAGGAGTATAAAGAAATTGAGTGTCTCAGGACGAAATGAAGCGTGTCGTCACCAATATTTTTAAATATGATCAGACTGTGGCCGTCACTGCTGTGCCAGTGTCCAGCGACATCGCTCGTCCCACCAACAACAAGCGAAACTTCTTTCCTATTATATCCACTTTTGGCTAGACAGCCGACTTCTCTCTTTGAGAAATCCTGAGAAGGTTATGTGCATGGTTCACGCAAGAGCTCCAGCTCTCATTATCAAGGTCTCACGGTCTTCTTTCCAATATGCACGAAAAAAGAGAAACTCTAGTCACGACCACTCGGTGCGCTTTGTCAGAATCAACTCGAGCAGCATCCTTCACAAGATTTTCCCCGATGACTAGATCTGCCGACAAGCATGCTAGTTGTCTGTTAGGTATAGTCTAGAGATGTTGGCATCTACTGGTGGTTACGTTCGGCTGCGCCTTTTGGGGGCTGAGTAAACGGCTGTCATTCTGCGCTGAAGCCGACCTGAACGTAGCCTCCCTTCGAGGTAATAACCTCACCCTGCAAGCGCTGATAATAACGGGACACTGCGGCATGGCGAGCGAAATCCTTCTTGAAGAGAGCGCGGTATTAGCTCTCCTCGGCCACTACCGAGTGGTCCAATAGGAACTCATAGTATGGGATGGGTCGAAAAGTACCTCGACCTCTGAAGGACCTTTAAGCTTTGAAAGCTTCCTCAGAAGCCATGATATACCCATGTGCAAAAACCTCAGAGAATATTCTCCTCTAATCATGGGTAAAAACAATCAAAGTGTTTTTCGATTTTTCAGAGCAGTTTGATCAACATGGCGCAAGACTTTCTTTCCAAATACATAAAATTTAATAACCTACGGCCTGTTATTGCATGCGGTTCTTCCCAACCTGAACGGTTCGTCTTTAAGCCCAAAAAAGACTATTCCAGCATCATCTGGTGCCCAAATTCCCTGAAAAAGTCTGTACTCAATGGAATTCGATTTGTTCTTTGTATAGGGGTGTCGGTCTCACAGGCATGATCCAAGACAATCTAGGAGAGCAACTTCGGACTATATTTTTCTTCAGCTACAAATTGGGTCAATCCGCAGTCGAGAGCTCGACAAATTAACCAGGTGTGGGGGCCCAATAGTGTTGGAGAAAGCACCGTGCGACAATGGTTCGACAAATTTCGTTCTGGAGATTTCAGCCTTGAAGATGAACCTCGTAGCGGTCGACCTAAAGCAATACCTGACGAGGATTTGAAGGCGTTTGTGGAGGCTGACCCATCCCAAACAGTTCGAGAGATTGCAGAAAAGCTAGGCGTTGGCAAATCCACTGTTGCGGATGGTCTGAAACGCATTGGGAAGGTGAAAAACTCGACAAGTGGGTGCCCCACAATTTGAGTGACCGGCAGAAATTGGCACGTCTCGAGGTTCCTTCTGCATTGCTTTTGCGCAGCAGAAACGACCTGTTTTTGGACCGAATTGTCACCTGTGATGAAAAATGGATCATGTATGATAACAGGAGACGTTCCGGACAGTGGTTGGATTCCGACGAACCACCGAGGTAATTTTCAAAGCCGAACCCTCACGAAAAAAAGATTCTGGTCACGGTTTGGTGGTCATCGGCTGGTGTGATCCACTATAACTTTTTATCACCAGGCCAAACCATCACAGCAGAACCCTACTGTGAAGAAATCGACGAAATGTACCGAAAATTGCGTCAGCACTTGTCAACAGAAAGGGTCCGATTCTTTTGCATGACAACGCCCGCCCACACGTTTCACAAATCACTATCCATAAATTGAACGAATTGGGGGTTGAAGTTCTACCTCACCCGCCATATTCTCCAGACCTTTCACCAACCGACTATCACCTTTTCAAACATTTTCAGAACTTCCTTGCTGGAAAATACTTCATCAATCAGGACCAGGCAAAAAAGCCTTCGTGGATTCTCGACCACCCAGTTTTTTCTTTGATGGGATTTATCGACTGGTGTCACATTGGCAAAAGTGTGCTGATTCGAACGGTGCTTATTTCGATTGAAGGCAATGCCCGCGATCATCCGCCGTCACAGATGTGGACTAGGGGTTTGCATACAGACGACAAGGTGCTCAGTAACTCGATAGTGGAGAAGAAAGCAGAAAAAAATGCCAACTGCCCTCAATACAACTTCATTCCAATCCCAGTTTGTGCGTGCCCAACTAACTCCACTTTCAACACGGTGCCCTCATCCGCACAGCTGATTCTCTGTTATGAACTCTACGACTGTATAGAAGACTTTCAGCTTTTTCGTCCTGCAGCTTCGTTTTCCCACTAAAGGGAGGGCCTTGAAGGCGGAGTCTGGAGGCGGAGTCTGGAGGCGGAGTCACTGGAAAAAGGAGGCGTCACTGAACCTATTTGCGTTATAGCGCCCCTCCCTTACAATTTTTTTGCCGCGAAACCGGTACAAGGTTGTTCGTCGCGGACCACACTACCCTCCCAACGCCATATTTTCAACTTCTATACCTGATCGCGGTCCGTGCCTTTAAATCCGATGAGTATTAAGAAAGTTATGATCGTTTAAAGTGAAACACTCAAAACGCTGAGAACTTTCCGGACAACCTAATAGTAGTCTGCCCGCAATATCCACAAGGTCCATTTTATCAATTACCCTAAAATCCCATAGATAAGAGCGGTTCAATTTACCGGTGGAAAATGAATTGGAATGAAATTGAAAACGAATGCAGTCACCCCTCTAACTTGATGGATGGATAAATAAAAATCGGAGAAGAAGTTTAGAAGAAGCTCCGCCCTCAACTCTAAGCCCCGCCCACTTAATAAACAATTCATATAGAAAAATAGCGACTTTAACGGAATTTCTGCCGGAATCTCTCTAGAAATGCCGGAATTTGATCTCTGGATAGAACTTGAAGAGCCCATTCGATCAGTAAAATTCCATAGATGAGAGCGGTTTAATTTTACCGGTAAAAAATGATTTTGAAAAAAACATTTTTAAAATTTTAAATAACAAACCGCTCTCAATCTATGACGCTCTTATTATGGGATCTAGGGTAGTTTTGTTTGAGTTTGCAGTTGCTTCATGTGCCTAGGTGAATAGTGAGGTGCAGCATTTTCGCCGACGATCCGGAGTCCCGCAGTGAAACATGTACTCAATGGTACCATAAGTGAGAGGTACAGACAAGCAGCGCGTTTGGTTATATTTAGACGGATGGCCGGCCGTGCTGCAGCGCGGATAAAGTATGGAGAGGGCATTCAGGCGTCACTACTCCGGTTCCCATGCCTTTTGTAGTGGGAAAGTGACACTACTGCAGCTGCTGGCCCATTCACTCCACCTGCGACAAGGATCAGGATCCATGGAGCTGAGGGTACAGTTGGCCTGTAAGGCGAACTTGGCACTATTTACCCTTTACTGCCCCAGCCATCCGAAATCAGGCCGGTTCCTGACCGACTTTTTTCTCCGTGGGCAGAATTCGCTGAAAAGTTGGCTCCAGGGGTAGTTCGACCCGCTGAACACGAATATCGCATCCGCTTGACCCAAAACCTCCTGGCGCCCGCGCCACGGGCGCCGGCGCCAAAATACTCGAAATCACCAAATTCGCTGAAAACTTGCTCCCAGGGGCGGTTTTTTTTGTAGTTCGACCCGCTGAACACGAATATCGCATCCGCTTAACCCGAAACCTCCTGGCGCCCGCGCCACGGGCGCCGGCGCCAAAATACTCGAAATCACCAAATTCGCTGAAAACTTGCTCCTAGGGGTAGTTTGACCCCCTGATCACAAATACCACTTCCATAATGCATGAAAAAATGCATGACCAACGCTTCTTCGAAAATCCCGCGCACGCCCAGCTTTCACACGCAAGCTCGTGGGAAATGGGATTTCCCACGGAATCGTGTGGGAATTGAGTGTTTCTCGTGGTGACTTCTTCAAAACTGACCTATTAACTTGGGAAGCCCCTTTGCTCCTCATTTAGCTATTTCACAAATAAGAGCGAATACTATTTCTCATGCAAGACAAATGTGAAATTCTTGTTCGCACATGGTCAATTTACCCTAGTTGACAAACTTTCAGCCAGTTTAGTGATTCAGAGTATTTTGGCGCCGGCGCCCGTGGCGCGAGCGCCAAGAGGTTTCGGGTCAAGCGGATGCGATATTCGTGTTCAGCGGGTCGAACTACCCCTGGGAGCAAGTTTTCAGCGGAATTTGGTGATTTCGAGTATTTTGGCGCCGGCGCCCGTGGCGCGGGCGCCAGGAGGTTTCGGGTCAAGCGGATGCGATATTCGTGTTCAGCGGGTCGAACTACCCCTGGAGCCAACTTTTCAGCGAATTCTGCCCACGGAGAAAAAAGTCGGTCGGGAACCACTCGGATTTCGGATGACTGGGGCAGTAAAGGGTAAATAGTGTTCTCTTGCGAACTTAACAGCATTTGGAGCCTATCACTGTATCTGGAGTCTAGCACAAGCAGCCTCATGCTAACTATGCACATTTCTCATTTCTTCCGCAGCATACTGTCAGTTTGCTGTGAAACCTAGTTATCGTGAAATATGTCTTGAGTGCTCTGGCGAATTATTAACAAGTATGCATCAACTAAATGCTACAGACTTAAAAGTAACATAACCAAACTTACGAAAGATGGTGATATTCCGGGGGGAATTTGGTCCAAAG